GAGAGGAGATCACAGAGAATCCCTCATTAATAAACACAACAGGACAGGAGACACAGTGAGAGGAGATCACAGAGACTCCCTCGGTAATAAACACACACAACAGGAAAGGAGACACAGTGAGAGAAGGGAAGTACAGCAGAATGACACTGATCCTTTACAAACGAGGTGTCTTTAGCTGTGTGATGTGTAGAATCGTCAGTCCTGTCGTACTGAAAGTGAAGAAATCTCTCGTTTTCTTGTTTTTTTTTTTAAACTCTTTTTAAGTTAATTTTTATTCAAATGGAGAACGGATGTTCTCCGCACTCCGCCTATGTTTACAGCTGATTAAAGTGGCAGTTTGCACTGTTCTGCGCTGGCCAGCCACGTCTCCGGGCCCCATGATCACGCAGGTCTCCGACGGACACAGGAGACCAAACTTCCTGACTTGAGGACTGGTCTGGCCCGGTCTCGGCCTGCTGGAGCTGCTGGTTACCTGCTCTGAAAGAGACCTGCGCGCTCGGGGATGTGGGACTGCAGCCGCTGTCCTGGCCACGCGCGTCCCGGAGACGGGCCGCGGGGGCCCGGAAGGTCACAGGCCGAGCGGGGGGGCAGGGGTCAGAGGTCAGAGGTCAGAGAGCAGAGGTGCACTGGCCACTTGGGCCCCCCCCCCCCATCTGGCCGCCCCGGGCTATCGGTCAGCATCTGTCCTGCCCGGAGGACCTGCGGCCAGTCTGCTCCCGAACTGGGAAATAACTGGAATAGCGGGTGAGGGTCCCGCAGCACAGCAGCCTGATCTGCCTACGTCTCAGTTTCCTTGTTTGCTCGTCTGCCGCAGAGTTAAAATCTGACTACAAACGTGTGAGGCCACCAACAGGAGGAGGGCACGGGTTTGCTTTGCTGGTCTGTTTGGCGTCTCGCATCTCATCCGGCTGTCCCTCCGGAGAATCCCAGGGTATTGGCTTCAGCGACATGGCTGGGCATCTTGCTCCACACTCCTGCCATCCATTGTGTAAAGTAGTGCCGAACGGGGGTTGGCGAGAAAGAGCTGAAAGAGATGAAAGGAAACTGGAACCCCCCCGAACCCCAGGCGGCAGGCCGGTACCCGCGGAAGCTGGGGCAGCAGGAGGGTGCCGGCGGCCGGGGAAGTGGTGTGGCTGATGAGGGTGTGTTCTGCTCTGGCCCAGTACTCCCTCCGCTCGGAGCGCACCCGGACAGAGGCGCCCTCCCTCCCCTCCCCTTTCCTGCTGTCTTCCCTCCTAGTATCCGGGGACAGAAAGGGAAACACCATCCCCAGCAGGATACTATCCCCAGCGCGTTTACCTTAACGATGCTCTAAATGGGCCGAGTTTGACCCTGGAACTGGTGATGGAATTTGACCCCAGAAGTGTTTACAGAAAAAAACTGGTCCGCCTTTCTTAAAAACACACAACTCTGGACAGTGTTCAAAGGTATTGTCAGCCTGGACTCCCCTGGAAGAGCTTGTCTGTCGTACTGTATGTCCACATGCATTTCTGAACGCGAGGAGGGCCTGGATTTGAGCCCTAGAGCGGTATTTCAGGAGTGCCCTTGGAGAAGAGGTGGCACAGTGTTGCAAGCAGAGTCTGACAAGCTCGCTGCCTGCAGGGCCTGACATCTTCTGAAATTCAACCCAGCCCAGCTTAATGACTTAACTGAGGCCTTAATTGAACTAACGAGTTGCTAGATTGGAATATGTGCATGCTATTTGTTCTACTCGAAAGATTGTATTTGTGACGTGCTACAGTTTGAGGACAGTATTCAAGGTTTAAGAGCTGAGACCAGCTGCATAGTTCCAATTAATCCCGTTATCGAGTCACTGCAGGGCTGGAACGAAAACCAAGAACTCCTGATGTAGCACTGGGGGTCTCGGACTCAGATCGTGGGGTGCCTGGTGTCTTCTGATCTTTGTTCCCCTGTTCTCAAATACGTAGTTGGTCTAATTAATTCCTTAATTAGCTGTGTGACTATAACACTTCTCACCGGGCACTGAGGTCGCTTGCTGGCAACTGTACCTGTATTGAAATGTCTTGTGTGATCGACTATAAAACAGCTTCATTAAGAAAAATCTCATTAAGAAAACAATCGGGTTAACGGAGTACTCTAGGAGCAGAGCTGGTGACCCCTGGATGGGATCACAGAGGTCAACCCCCTTCACGCTGAGCCACTAGGGGGCACTGCCGGTCTCGTTCATGAATTAATCCCATGAGCCTGGGACGCCCCAGTCCGAGTTTGACGCACCTGATTTAAAGGCGGATGGCCTCGACGAAAGACAGATTTCTCAACAAGGAGCTCGTGCAGGGTTAGCAGCCCGGGACTGGCCTTTAAGAAGGGTCCTTAGCCCATTTCAAAGAAACTCTGCTCCATCATGTTGTTTCCAGCCTACGTGCTGATATGCACACTTCACTGAAACAATCTGCACGCTGCTGGGAGAGCGAGGGGGCGGGGACAGGGGTGAGTCGGGGTTCCGGGCCTGTGCGATGGATTCGGAGGGATCCCAGAGGCGGCGGGGAGGAGGCCGGAGAGCTCAGTCACTCTGGAATGGCGAAGCAGCTCAGATCCTTTACTGTAGCAGGCTGAAGTGCCGCCGCCGGTGCTGAGCCAGTGGAGGGAGGGATCTCGTCACCACGCAGATCTGGATCACCGTTCTAGGTGTGCGTGCGTGTGCGTCGTTGTTTTTTTTTAATTTTTTTTTATGGCTTTGTTTTCTAACCTGTTGTTGTCCTGTGTGCGTGTGTGTGTGTGTTTGTGCGTCTGTGTGTGCGGGTGGCTTGTCTCTTGTCGTGTGCCAGTTTCCCCGAAACCACACTTGTTTTGAAAAAACTACCCATCATTCCTTAAACACGACAGCAGATCTCTGCGCCATGTCTTTAACTGTTAATAATAATGATGCTGATGACCCTGATGACAATGATAATAAAAATAATATATTAATTCCCAGCGTTTCAGGGTGATTTCTGAATTGCTGAATGCCGATGCCTTTCCTAGACCTAATTGCAAATCTGATAATTTGCCGTTCTGGGATGATTTGAGTTAATTACCAACTGCTGACCGATCAGAGTCTGCAGTCCTGCGCCTGGAGGGCTGGAGTGTCTGTGGGATTTCCCTCAGGAACTCTTAACGGACTCTTAACGAGCTGTATCAATCAGCTCCTTGCTGGCTTGATGAACCTGACTTAACTTCTCCCAGCTCTTCAGGTGCTGGTGTCTGGGAGGGACCCCACAGGCCCCAGACTGGTGGCCATGGGATTGACCTGTGGATGGCCCAGCCACCAGGCAGTGCTGCTGGTCCCATTCCTATATTCATCCATTCACACTGAGAAGCAGGACTGTAATGGTGGTGCAGAAAGTGGGCCTCAGCGTGGGGGGGGGCCCGAGTATGGTTTAGGCTCGTGGGCTGTCTACCCTGTGGCCACAGACGTGTAGCTTCAGTCTACAGAACAAACGCTGTGCACAGCCCTTAAACCACTGATCTTGGTTTTAAACGCTCTTCCCTGTATTTTCCCATCTGAGCACCTCTAGATCGTGTTTACTGTTGATTCTGGAGAAATTCTCTTGACTCTGTTGATGCCCTTGAAGATTCTGAACACTTGTATTGCAATCTTCTTTAGTCTGTAATCCAAAAATTAAAGAGACTCGGTTCCCCCAGCCTGTCAGTGTGGGACACTCCCTTCAGACTAAAGAGCCTCAGTTCCTCCAGTCTGTCAGTGTGGGACACTTCCTTCAGACTAAAGAGACTCAGTTCCCTCAGTCTGTCACTGTAGGACACTCCCTTCAGACTATAATGTCTTGACTATAACTTTTATTGGCGTAATACAGAGTTATTCCCCACTGTGGTCTGTGTCTGGTACAGGGTCACTCCCTACTGTGGGTGTATCAGATACAGTCACTCCCTGATGTGGGCGTCTGTTCAGAGTCACTCATACTGTGAAGGTGTCTAATACAGCATTAGTCCCACTGTGGGCTTGTCCGGTATTCTGTGACATAGCGTATATCAGTCTGTGTGTGCAAATGCGAGTGTTTAATCTCCACCGCTGACAGGGGGCAGCAGCACAAGCTCATTCTGCTTATCAATCGTCCAGAAGAATGGACAGATCTTCTCCCCCTGTTTGAAGACCATGTCAGTGAAAGTGTAGATGTGTGTCCTGGTCTCCACACTGTAAAAAGACACCTGCCTCTCCTCGATGTCCACACACACCCCCACCCTCCTGGGCTGCAGACTGCAGTGAAGGGGGGTCACTGGGTCAGTAAGTGCAATGAGGCAAGAAGAATAACATCCCAGACCCCAGTAACCCTCCTGTGGGGTGAATTTGAACCCTCTTGTCCTCTGCGCAGACTCTCTGCTCACTCCGATTCTCCAGTCCTCATTCCCCTCCACCTCCCAGTAGTGTCTCCCGGAGGTGAAGCCCTGCCTGGCCAGGACACAGGGCTGGGAATCGAATCTGCGTGGGTTGGCAAAGTGATCCATCTGTTTTCCCAGACTCACTCTCCTCCCTTCCTTGGACAAGCTGCTCTGGGAAACCATCCACCTGTCCAGTCTCACCCCCAGCCCATCCCGGGAGAGGACTAGTCCGCCGTGGGCTGTATCCGGGTCCAGAGTGAGCTCCCCTGAGGGAGAAGGAAACGGAAGATGGCAGGAATTCAGAGAAAGCTTGAAGTTGATACCTGAAAAGTATGAAAAGATCCTTTCTGGTCTGTGAGCACCCGGCTGCACACTAGAGGAGTGTGAGCACCCGTCCGCACACTATAGAGCTGTGTGAGAACCAGTCTGCACACTATAGAGGTGTGAGCACCCGTCCACACACTATAGAGCTGTGTGAGCACCAGTCTGCACACTATAGAGGTGTGTGAGCACCCGTCCACACACTATAGAACTGTGTGAGCACCCGTCCACACACTATAGAACT